GATCAGGATTCAAACTTGCCTGTGCCACTTGCAGTCTGTTCACAACGGAACCTGCCCTGCTAATAGTCTGAGGACAGCAGCCCAGGGCCTGTGCAGCCCCGCAGGACGGTCCTGCATGCGAACCTCGGCCCTCCCTCGGCCTCTGTCAGGAGCGTTGTGGACAGAGAATTCCAGGAACAAAGACGATGTGGAGGAGGCGAGGCGGGGGCTGGCGTTCCAAAATTGGGAGGAACTGTGAGTGAGAGGGGGAGGTAGGGGCTATAAATGGAAGGGAGAACCTTCGAAGAGTGACGGGGACTGGCTCATTCGGGTCGGTTGGGGAACCTTTCCTTCCTCACCTCCTTTCTGCCAGGCTGTTACCACATATCCTGGACACTGCAGACATGGCCACGGTGAATGGCAGCACGCCCCGTCTGCAGGAACCAGTTGTCACTGCCCTGGAGCACCATGGTGACAGACTCTGAGCCTATCCCAGGGGCTCTCCCTTGTGGGGGTTGGGTGTGCTGTGTGTGAGAAGCTGGGGTCACCTGAGGAAGAGGAAATGTGTTCTAGGAACACAAGGCTCTGATTTAAACAGGAAACAAGGACTTTGGCCCCAGGAGGTGTCCCTAGTGCCCAAGATGACTGTTTTGTTTTTCCAAGGGTGGTGTTTAACCTCGTGGTGAGGCACCTGGCCTGGCTCCTGTACCTCCCCAGTGGAGAGGTTAGGCCTCTTCCCACAGCAGGTCCCCAGCCCGTGTGGGCTCCTCAGCACCCTGGGGACTAGAGTGCAGGTATCTGCTGCTGAAAGGGGCACAGAGGCTGGACCCCAGTCAGGCAACAGGTTCCGTCCCTGGCCTGGGGCTCTGGACCCCATGAAGATGGTGGGCATGCAGGATACAAGCTCGTGTGTGTCCTACCCTCATCCAGGTGCTCCACTGGCTCCTCCCCTCCCACTTGCCCTCTGTCTACTCATTCCAGCTTCCCTTTGGCACTTACTCAGTGCCCTGGCTGAGAGCTGCTGAGGAGGGCCGGGATACCGCTAGACGATCAGAACCCAAGGTGGCAGGTACTCAGCCTGCAGGGACCCCGGCAAGGCAAGGACTTCGGAAGCCTGCAGGGCCAGACAGGAAGCGGCTGGGCAGGGGCTGACATGCCAGACAAGGAGGTGTGAACAGCTGGCCTGCTTCAAGAGAGGTGGCAGCTCCAGTGTCACCTGAGCTCCAGGGGTGTGGCGGGGAGGGAGCTGGAAAGTAGGCGGCCGAGAGCAGGCCAGGCCAGGTCCCAGCATGGCTCGGCACTCCCCTGGACTCTGATGAGAATGCACATCCTCAGGCCCCATCAGAGTGAAACAGAAAGCTTGCGGGGGTCGGGGACACCAAGTCCTGTTTCATCCTCCACTTGAAGGCGTGTTGGCATTCTGCAATATTCTGGGGAGAAATAGTTTGTTTCCCTCTTTCAAGTTCAAGTGCCCTTTACTGTTTAAGACTCACCTACAGTCGGGGAGCCAGGAGCCAGGAGCGGCTTGTTAGCAGGACAGTATCATACCACCCTTCTGAATGACAGCGGACTCTCGGGCCAGAGAGGGCAATATGGAGGTGGGGACAACCACACCATCCAAAAAAACTGTGAGGGCAGGTGGAGTCTTCTCAACACAAGAGAAGAAAAGCAGAAGAGCAGCTATCAGCGAGATGAAAACGCACCCCAAGGCCTGACCAGCCTGCCCACAGTTCACAGAAAGGCCTTCAGAGAAATGCCTGGGAGACATGTGAATGAAAAAAGCAGGGTCGGGCCCGGCGCGGTGGCGCAAATGGTTAAGTCCTCGCCTTGCACGCCCGGGATCCCATATGGGCACCGGTTCTAATCCCGGCAGCCCCGCTTCCCTTCCAGCTCCCTGCCTGTGGCCCGGGAAAGCAGTCGAGGACGGCCCAAGGCTTTGGGACCCTGCACCCACGTGGGAGACCCGGAAGAGGCTCCTGGCTTCGGATCGGCATAGTATCGGCCCGTTGCGGCTCACTTGGGGAGTGAATCATCGGACGGAAGATCTTCCTCTCTGTATCTCCTCTCTGTATATCCGCCTTTCCAATAAAAAATAATAAAAATAAAATCTTTAAAAAAAAAAGAAAAAAGCAGGGTCCCTACCTCCCAACCCTGAGAACCTGGCCTTGCTTAGACAGCTTTTGGGGAATAGAAAACACCTGTACGCACTCTACTGAAAAAATAGAGGCAAGAAGAACACAACCACAGCAAGACCACACAGCCCATACAAGCCAGGACACCTTCAGTGCTTGTGTCACAAGACTCCTACGCTAACCCATCGTCACATTCTATCTGATGAAGCATGATAAGGCGTGCTCAACTAAGATAACTGCTATAGAAATAACAGACTTGGGCTCAGCTCAGTAGTCTAGCAGCTAAAGTCCAGGACCCCTTTGGGCACTGGTTCTAATCCCAGTAGCCCCCGCTTCCCATCCATCTCCCTGTTTGTGGCCTGAGAAAGCAGTCAAGGACAACCCAAAACCTTGGGGCCCTGCACCCGTGTGGGAGACACAGAAAAGGCTCCTGGCTCCAGTTTGGCTCAGCTCCAGCTGTTGCAGCCACTTGGGGAATGAATCATAGGACAGAAGATCTTCCTCTCTGTTTCTCCTCCTCTCTGTATATCTGACCTTGCAATAAAAATAAATAAGTCTTAAACAAAAAATTTAAAAGACACATCATCACAACATAAGAAACCCAGTCTAAAGGACTAGTCACCATGACCACAGCAGCTGCTTGCAAGGGCATGGCAAACAGCCGAGGGCCGGCCCTGCGTGGTGGACTCCCATCCAGGATGTTTGCTCCTAGCTGCAGACTGCCACTCAGGGTGAACTTTCAGTGCTCCCACAGGCTTTACCAGGCATGTGCTTTGCATATCTGGGCGGGGCTGGGAGCTTGTCCCTCCTTACCTCAGAGGAGGCCACCAAAGCACTGCACCGCAGTCCACACAGACTATCTGAGACACTGCTTTATTGGGGGTTCTCTCAGAGAAACCAGACCCACCTGGCACACCAACCCTCTTCAAACTAGACTTGCTTCCTTGCCTTCTCCTGTGCGGGTGTGGTGTCAGGGACGGGGTAGCTTGCAACACCCTGAGGCCAAGGAAGAACCCTGAGAAGTACAAGGGCTGGGTGGAGGCAGTGGGTACAGAGCCTTAAGTTACAGCCTGAGACTCTGGCATCCTACATTGGAGTGCTGGTTCAAGTCCCAGCTGTTTCATTTCCAGTCCAGCTCCCTGCTAAGACACCTGGGAAAAGCAGAAGGAGGCCCCAGTGCTTGGGCCACTGCACCCACGTGAGAGACCTGGCCCTGTGTTTCTCCCTCTCTCTATGTCATTTTTCAAATAAATAAATCAATAATAATAATATAAACAAAGAAAAAGAAGGAAGTTACACTTGCAAATAAAAGTGGGTTAGGCTGCTGCTACGGGTGATGCCAACATTCCAGCAAAGCACTGGTTGTAGTCCCCGCTGCACTGCTTTCCATGCAACATCCACTCACTCTGCCTCCAGGCTAGCAGCTAACATATTCTGTCTGTGGGAGATCCGACTGGAATCCTGGCTCCTGGCTTTAGCACTAGTCCAGTACTGGCTATCAGAGCCGTATAGTAGGTGAACCAGTTGATAGAAGATTTTCCGTATGCCTTTCAAACAAATCTTTAAAAAGAAGAACAAACGAGTATTAGAATGCCAAGTGTACCAGATCTGTGTCCGGGGTGGGGGGTGGGGGGGTGGTTGGGGTGTCACTGCTTACCCACACAGATGGTGGGGGAGGGGACCAGAAGGGAACTAGGGTTGGAACCTGTGTTAGAACATTCTTCACTCTCCTTTTGGGCCTCTTCCTGGGCTGTCCCCACCCTATCAGATAACAACAAAACATCACAGCTCACCCGATTTGCCAATAATTCCTCGTGTGGAAATGCTCTGCTGCTGCACTACTGATGAGCCTGCTGGGGGGTTGGGAGGGCTGGGGGGTTGGGAGGACATGTAAGAGGGGTTGGGAGGACTTGTAAGAGGGGTTGGGAGGACTTGTAGGAGGGCTGGGGGGTTGGGAGGGCTGGGGGGTTGGGAGGACTTGTAAGAGGGGTTGGGAGGACTTGTAGGAGGATCCCAGTACTCTGCACCTGCCTCCACTCCCCACGGCAGAGCAGCCACTCACTCCCCTTGTTTGTAGACTAGGAAATGGAGCACCACTGGTGGAGAGGAAGCTTTCTTCATAAACCAGGTCGCCAAGTGCCAGGGTCCTCTCCAACATGTCCCTGCCCAGGCCCACCAGTGCCATCCCATGCACCATGGCAGGCATGTGGCGAGAGGGCAGAGAGGATCAGAGGAAATGCAGGAGAATTTCTGACCCCCAGGGCATGCTCATGTCAGCCACTGGGGGTGACTAGCAGGCTGCCAAGGCAGGCTGCTCTTGGAACAGTGGCCACAGTGAGAAAGCAGCATTGGCCAACAGGGACCCCCAAAGCACAAGCCTGACTGCAATATGTGGGGCGTAAAGAAGGCAAGTAAGAATCATTTGAGAAGAGCAGTGGACATCTCCTGTGCTCTGTGGGACAGGTACCCGCAGCAGGTGGGTGCTGGGGTCCCGACAGCTGCAGGGTAACCAGCTGCGGGGTGAGAGCTGCTCCCTGGGCTGTGTCACCATCAGTCACCCAGCAAGGCAGGCAGGCATGACCAGAGTAAGCTCACATCAAGTTCCAGGTGGGGAGACGGGCACCAGGTTTCTGCAGCCATTAGTGCTTGCACCACATCCACAGTCAGGAAGGAGAGGTGGAATGGGCAGAACAGCTACGCCCATCTCGCTGCAGGGATAAAGAGAATCTGTACAAATTTTTAACATTTAAAAGGCAGAGAGAGAGAGATGGATCTTACCTGCTGGTTCACCCTCCAAATGCCTGCAGCAGCTGGCAGGTGGGTGGCAGAGACCCGATTATGGGAGTCTTCACTGCTGACACTCCCAGGGTCTGTTTGTGTCAAAGCAGGAAACTGAGTCAGCAGTCAGAACTGGGTGCAGAACCTGGCCTGGGCACTCTGGCTGGGATGTCATCTTCACCAGTACCAGAACAGCCAGGTCCAGTGCCAGCCCCACTGCCCACCCATTACTCGTTCTTCAGTTAGTTTGTGCCTTGAAATAAGTTCACTGGGAGTGAGTGATCAGCAAAAAGTGTATACACACACACGCACGCGCACACATGCCCCCAGACCCTGGACAAGCAGTTGATGAAACACTGGTTACCTGTCTTATCTGCTCGCCCTCCTCTCCTTTGCACAATCCACTGCTTTCATTCCTTATGGCTGTGCCATGGCTGCCATCCCCAGCTCACAGTGCCATGACCTAGTGCTTCCCGTCCCTGATACCAGGTTTGAGGAGGAGAGGGCATGCCACTCTCTTGCTTGAGCAGGGCTGTTGGGGTGCATCTCTTTCTGTTGTGGGGGAGTTGCAAAACCGGGGTGACTGTACCACATCCTCGCTTCCCGTCAGATGGAGATACATGGTCACAGTGCATGGAAAGAGGGACCAGCAGATGCAGAGGAACTGAGGCACAAGGAGAGAGGCGGGAAGGAAGCCTCTGAGCGCTGTGGCTGCAGTTGCAGGATCCCAGCCCAAGCAGACCCAGCCAGCATGGGCTGGGGTTTTCCTGCCAGCCTCCAACAAGATTCCTCCTGGATGACATGGCCATGGTGGGGAACCTGCTGTTCGTGAGGGAAACGGCAGCAGGTGTGGCCTCTGTGTGAAGTTCTTGTATCTGATGGCTCTTTACTGCCAGTGACCAGTACTAGTGTGGTAGAAATATTAAATATTTAACAGAAAAAGGACTAAGAATGCATTTGGTGAGAAACAGAGAGGGAAGAAGAGAGAGAGAAGTTCCAAAGCAGGCAGAATGTAAACCAGAGATGTCACCCAGGCCCCCACACAACAGCCAACTTAGTAGCCAGCAAAGTGCCATCCATTCCAACAGGATCTAGTGGCAAAGTTCCCCCAGCTCAGTGTGTGTGTGGGGGGGAGGGGCTCCCTGGTCTAGGAGAGGACAGTGACCCCTTATTCCCCAATCTATCCCAGGTTGGTCCTGTTTCTACCTATCACCCTCAGGTCATCCCGAGCATCCTCCATCTTCCCCAATGCGGGAACGAATTGATCCTCAGCAATGCTGGGAGGACACGGACCAGGTGGCCTCAGGCACCTGCTGCCCCGTTTGTGAAATGGGCATGGCATGGCAGTGCAAAGCTGAGGAGACAGGACTGGGAAGAAGCACTATCCTTGTCCCATCTGCAAATGGAAAACGAGAGAATTCAGAAGCACGGGCAAGAAGTGGGAGGGGTCTTCAGCAGCATTCGCCCCCAGGGCTGGCCTCAGTTCACTGAACTGCTGCCCACCGGAGCCTTAAGCCTTGCAGGCCCCATGGCCCCCTGCCTGTTGCCAAGGCCTGTGAGCTTCCTCCATTCCTCCCCAAGCTGGCCCGCGGCCAGGGTCCCTGGAGCCTGCCCAGTCACGTGGCACTGGGGTCCTCTTAGGACTCTTCCTTGGGGCTCCAGATTTAACTCCGCTCCCGTGGGGCTCTGGGCCCCTGGGGATGCCTCCTCCACCGGGTCTGTCCAGTGGGTCCAGCCTGTAGGGCTGACTCCTTCGCAGAGCAGCCTCTTCTGTCCTGTGCAACCTGTCCGAACCCACATCAGTCTCCTGAGGGCCCAGCGCCCTTCTGGGTACACCAGGGGCGGGAGCCCTACAGGAACTCCCAGCACTGATCTCCCCGGAAGTCCACAAGGCCGTTCAGAGACCCTGGCCAGTCTTTGGTGCCGGACAGAGGTGGGGCGTAGGAGCCTCTGACCAGCTGTTGATTTTGGGAGTTCACTGCTCCTGGGCCTCAGTCCTAACTTCTGGGAAATGGGGCCCTAAGGAGCTGAGGGGCAAGGAGCAGCTAATAGCGATCGCCCGGTCAGCGGGGTCCGTGGCCGCGCCCCTCCGCAGCTCGCGCGTCCCTGGGCCCTGGCTCCTCCTCCGTTGACATCAGAGCTGCGGGCGGGCCGGCTGGCCCTGGGAGCCGCCGCGCTCGAGCCCCGCGAGAGAGCGGGCGGCAGCAGCGAACGGCGGCGGGAGCTTGCGCCAGCACCTCGGCCCTAGCAGCCAGCCCCGCGGCGGGGCAGCCGCAGGTACCGCCCGCACGAGTGCCCCTGCGCTGGGGATCCCCCGGCTCGGAGCGGGGCCCGCACCCGAGGCCAGCGCTGGGCCTCTCTTCGCAACCCCTGCCCCAGGCCAGGCAGGTGTTGGACAGGCCTGAGAGCAGCAGTGGGCAGCGGGAGGGAGGATGCAGGCGAGCAGAGTGGCCCCTAGGCCGGCGGCGGGATGCAAAGGGTCCCAGTGGGTGGGAACGCCATTGCGGAATGCGTCCAGGTACTGTGACTGGGGGCTGGGTGGGTGTTGTGTGGCAATAGCCAGCTTGGTCAGAGGCAGGCCAAGGTTCCATGTAAGCAGAATTTGGGGTACAGAAGCTTCGAGGAAGTAGGACAGAGATGTGAGGGGTGTTGGTTGGGTGTGCAAGAGGGGTGTCTGGGTGTGGGGGAGTGTCTGCAGTGGATGGGATGGCCAGGCACGCGTCCAGGTGGAAGGGTGCCTGGAGACGGTGTGTGTGGGTAGTGATCTGTGCGTGATGCCTTGCCACACAGGATCTGGTGGGGGCAGGCCTTGCCATTCAAGGGGGTGCATGGGGCTGGCTGTGGGTGGTTCACCCCCATGCCCAGCCATCTGCCCAGGACCCCTAGGACTCCATGGCTAGAGCTTACCCTCAGACTCCTGCCCTGGCCATTTCTGGTCCTGGCATGGGGACCAGGCATCCCTGGGAGCAGGGCAGCATCCCCTGCAGGGGAGGAGTGTTCCACCAGGGAGAGGAGGCCAGGCATTCCCCCCTCCCCTGCTGCATGGTCCTGCAGGGGCAAGAAGCAAAGTCCTGCCTTGAGCTCACTCCACATACCAGGTCTGTGTTAGCCTGCAGTGGGCTTGCGAGAACCCATTCCCCCAGGAGCCTCTGCCATGGCCTTAGCCCCATGCAAGTGCAGCCAGACCTCTTGGGCAACACTGTGCCCAGCCCCTGCCCAGCTCCTAGCACTGTCTCCCCATTCTTCCTGCCCCTCCTGCCTGGGGAGCTGGAGGCTCAGTGAGAAAAGCTGCTGCAGGCTGGGTCAGGGTGCGATGGGGCCCGCCAGGAGGGGACCCAGATGTGGAATGGGGAGCTCCAGCTGTGGCTGCTGTTGCTGTGGCAACAGTGCAAAAGGAGCTATATTTAAAAACGTGGCTGAGATATTGCCGGGAGCCCAGGCTGCTGGAAACCTGATTTCCAAGAGGCCAGGGTGGGTGGAAGGAGGAAGAGAACAAGGAGACACTTCAGCAGTCCCCAGGGTGGGGCTGGGCTGTGGTGGGTTTCGTCCAGAGGCACCCGGCAGGTGCGGCACCTCTGGCAGCTGCTCTGGGGTCTCCACCCAGAGTACCCAAGAACTGGGAAGTGAGTTTGACTAGAATAAACAAACGTCTGACTCTACGGGAGAATCTCATTGCCACCGTAAAAGCCATTTCTGGAGGCCTGAGAAGTTGCTGAATGGACGAATGAGCAGATGAATGGAGGTCAAATGGTTTTGTCAAATGAATGGACTGAGGGATCAATAAACATGGGCCAGGTGGCTGAGGGCCAGCAGGCAGGAGCCTGGACCCTGAGTGCCCTGCACCCTTGCCCTCCCCAGGAGCCCTGGCTGTGGCTGGGGGGCAGTGGGCCATGCCGGGGGCAGTGGACGGCCCCAGCTGGAAGCAGGCAGAGGACATCAGGGACATTTACGACTTTCGCGATGTTCTGGGCACGTGAGTCTCTGGCTGGACCGACTGGGAGCACCCTCACCCCAGGCCTTGGTACCAGGGTAGAGTGGGCGGCGGAGTCCAAGGTGTGGCCTCCTCTGGACAGCTGGGCTGATGGTGAATGCTTCCTGTTATCTCCAGCCTGGAGAATGTATGGGCAGTGCAGAAAGAACTCAGAATAACCTGGTGTTTGCCTCGTGGGGGAGACAGACCCAGCCCCACAGGAAATGACCCAGGGCTGGATGCGACCACCTCTGCAGCCAGTGGTGGACTCACCGGGGAGGCTCATGCCTCCTCCTGGGTCTGGAGTCAGCAGGTGGGAGGGTGGGACCAAGTTCCTCACCTAACCAATCTCCCTCCCTGCAGGGGAGCCTTCTCTGAGGTCATCCTGGCAGAAGACAAAAGGACGCAGAAGCTGGTGGCCATCAAGTGCATCGCCAAGAAGGCCCTGGAGGGCAAGGAGGGCAGCATGGAGAACGAAATTGCTGTCCTGCACAAGTGCGCATGCACCTGGCCCAGCCCCACCTGACATTTCCCGATCACCCTACCTCATACTGCTCATGAGTAAAATGGGGGTGTAGATCACCAGCTGGCAGGGGTGTTGGAATCACTGGCAGCTCCTGTCCCAGGTGCCTGCAGCAGAACAAATATTGACAGCTATGACATCAGAGTGTCCTCGTCATGGCCAGAATGTTTAGAGCCCATCCTCAGGGCCCCTGACAGGTTCAGAAATGCTTTAGTACTGGGCGCCCACTTGAACAAAGACCCCACAAAGGCTCATGTCAGTACAGACTCTCTGCCCCCTGGCAATCTCAGGGGCTCCGATTTCCCACCTTCTCCCCCAAACCACCTTGCACAGAAGAAATGCTCATTTCTGTTGTTGGAGGCAAGCCTGGGCAGGGGGTGGAGTGAGGCTTTCCGAGAGCAGTCTTCCTCCTCATCAAGCCCAGTTCCACTGTGATCATTTCTGGAGTGCTACGAGCACCTATGCTGAGTGCTGCACTTGGTGCAGCCTGAGTGCCAACCCTCTCCCCTCCTTTTAGGATCAAGCACCCCAACATTGTAGCCCTGGATGACATCTACGAGAGCGGGGGCCACCTCTACCTGGTCATGCAGCTGTGAGTGGCCCCGCCCCTGCCCCTCTCAGCAGCCCTCTCGCCATGGCTGCCTCAGGCCAAAATTGCCCTCTGCCTACCACAGGGTGTCAGGTGGGGAGCTGTTTGACCGCATCGTGGAGAAAGGCTTTTACACTGAGCGGGACGCCAGCCGCCTCATCTTCCAGGTGCTAGATGCAGTCAAGTACCTGCACGAGCTGGGCATTGTGCACCGGGATCTCAAGGTGGGCCTCCACGAGGCAGGCCTCTCCATACCCTTCCACCTGACTGACCCCTGCGCTGAGCGGAGGCTTCTGTACTGCGGCCCTCCCAACTCCTGTGCTGCCTCTTTTTGAAGGGCCCAGAAGCACATTGCGATACGGCTCTGACCACTCCTATTTGTGCCTTCTGCTCATGATTAAATTCCTGCCTGTTTGTAGGAAACGGGCAGGATGGCAAAGCCTGGACAGCAGTCAGGACCCCTCCTTGCCTGAGCCGGACCCCCCAGACACTGCCGGGCTCCTACTCCACAGCGCATCCACAGCTGGGCCAGGGAGAGCACTGCAGGCAGAGAGTGTAGTGGAAGTGGCCCTGCTTTCCAGCATGCGGCTTTGGGGTCAATCACTGTCCTGCTCATGGAAGCAGGTTCCTCATCCGTGGAAAAGGGCCCGGACAGGGAGCTGTGAAGGATGAGACCCAGCCAGGGTTCAGGTGTCCTTTCAGGATGTGTCATGCACACCTGAGATGAAAAAAACCCGGCCCACCCTGACTGCTGCTGGGATGACAGCCATGAGGCCACAGCAACTTTCCTGAGTGGGCAGCGGTGTCTCGTGTGGTGCTCAGGGGAGGTGGGCCGTGTTGGCCCCCAGGCAGTCTCTGACTCCCATGGCTCTATGCTTGCACCCTAACAGCCAGAGAACCTGCTCTACTACAGTCTGGATGAAGACTCCAAGATCATGATTTCCGACTTTGGTCTCTCCAAGATGGAGGACACAGGCAGTGTGCTATCCACGGCCTGTGGGACACCAGGATATGTGGGTATGGAGGGCTCTGGGCTGGGGGGGATGGACGAGTGGGAGTCCAGCCAAGGGCAGCAGGATGGACACATGTCACCGCCATGTCCCCTTCCTTCCACAGCCCCTGAGGTTCTGGCCCAGAAGCCCTACAGCAAGGCCGTGGACTGCTGGTCCATCGGGGTCATTGCCTATATCCTGTAAGCAGGGTGGGGCTCCGGCCTGCTTGTCTTCCTCCATCAGGGTCATTGGGTACATCCTGTAATTTGGGGGGCAGAGGGAGGGGAGGATTCAACTCCAGGTGTCCCCTGCTCAGCCTGCCCCTTCCTCCCTCAGCTATTTCCTCCTTCCATCCCAAGCGACACCTGCCTGCTCCTTACTAATGTGACTTGGCTCAACAGATTATGTTTCAGGCCCTGCAAACAGCGATTTAGCAGAGAACCAACCACAGCCAGGGCAGGCTCTCAAGGGAATGAAGCCTATCAGGGGAGATGGGAATATGGTGTGAAATAGACCAGGCAAGCCCAGCAGGAATAGGGACAACTGTTTAGGCAGAGGGAATAGTCAGTCAGTGGGAAAGCTATGAGAAGGCCAAGTTCAAGGAAGAGGGGCAGGCGGATGGGGGCCTGTCACAGAGGGCCTCTATGCTGCGGGTCTCTGCTCAGGCTCTGTGGCTACCCTCCCTTCTACGACGAGAATGATGCCAAACTCTTCGAGCAAATCCTGAAGGCTGAGTACGAGTTTGACTCTCCTTACTGGGACGACATCTCCGACTCTGGTACTCCGGGCTCTGCCTGCCTCCAGCACTGGCCCTCGGGTCCCCAGCCTCCGCTGACCCTTGCTCATCTCAGCCGCCCAGCCCCAGATGGCACCTTAATATTTGTCTCCTCCCTGAGGCCTCCAACACCTTCCCACAAACACACATTTCCACACCAGCAGTCTTGGGTGCCCTCCCTGTCGGTAGGGTGGCCCTGGGTAGGGTGGCACAGGGATGGACCTGGGCTCTTTGCCTCCTCGGACACCAGTCTGTGGGCACTGCCATGTTGTCTTTGCTTCTGTCTTGGGGGTGCAGCCAAAGACTTCATCCGGCACTTGATGGAGAAGGACCCAGAGAAGCGGTTCACCTGTGAGCAGGCCTTGCAGCACCCGTGGTGAGCACCCCTACGGGCTGTGGGTTGGAGTCCCTGGGCTCACCTCTGCCCTCACCAGCAACCCTTCCCCACTCCTGTCCCAGGATCGCAGGAGACACAGCTCTAGACAAGAACATCCACCAGTCAGTGAGCGAGCAGATCAAGAAGAACTTTGCCAAGAGCAAGTGGAAGGTGAGCCTGCCTACCTGCCCTACCAGGGCCCCCACAGGCAGGCCCACCTGGGCTGTTGGCACAGCACCTAGCCTCAGAAGGGCATGGGGGAAGCACTCTAGGATGTCCATGGAACTTCTGTCCAGCCAGACCTGGTGGACCGTGTCCAAGGCAGAGGGTGCCAGGGAGAAGTATGTGGCTATTCTGGCATGTGAGGGGCTAGGCCAGACTGGAGTTGGGGGAGTGGTGAAGCTGGCCACTCAGAGCCTTGGGTACCACAGGAGGGCACCAGCTCTCCCCAGAGGAGGAGTCTCAGGGTATGGGGGAAGATGGGCAGACCACACAGGAGGCTGCGGCAGACATGCAGGCTTGGACATGAGCAGCAGCTCAGGTGAAAGCAGAGTTGCACAGCAGGTGCTGAGGAGGCAGGACCCATACTCACGGACAGGAGGCAAGTGAAGCCCAGCCCAAGAGTACATGGGGACAGAGCAGGGGTGATGATTCCTGGGGGCAGGGATATGCTGAGTAGCCAGTGAGGCGCATACACACCCAGATATATACACATACATATATACCCTCATGTACACATACTCACTCACTACACACACACACCCACACATCTGAATCTACCCATACATACACACAAACCCCCAACACACACACCTATTACTTGTCTTCACCTCAGTGTCCTCTTTTGAAAATCCTATTACTAGCATGTACCTCAAAGAGGTCTGTGAAAAATACATGTATCACCATACCAGGTTTTCTCTGACGTGTAACCGTAAGCTAGTCCACATGTGTGCTGTGGGAGCAGTGGTCCGTATGTGAGCAGAGGGGCAGGGCATGTGCTGGAAGGACTAAGTAAAGCCTGAAGAGGCCCAAAGACCCAGCCCTGGCGGCAGCCCCAGAACCTGCTCACGCATCTCTCTTCCCCTCTCTCCCCGCAGCAAGCCTTCAATGCCACGGCCGTGGTGCGGCACATGAGGAAGCTGCAGCTGGGCACCAGCCAGGAGGGCCAGGGGCAGCCAGCCAGCCACGGGGAGCTGCTGACGCCAGCCGCAGGGGGTGAGCACAGGGCCTGTGGTCAGGCACCTGGGCAGGGGCGGGGTGTGTGCTCCACAGCCAACTCTACCCTCTTCCCATGCAGGACCGGGGGCCGGCTGCTGCTGTCGGGACTGCTGCGTGGAACCGGGTCCGGAGCTTCCCCCCACGCTCCCCCCACAGCTGTAGGGCTGGGATCTCCTGTCCCGGAGAGGTGGGGTAGCCTGCTCTCCTTCCTCCCTGCCTGCCCCAGGCCCTGCCATCCTCACTATGTTTTCCATACAAATGTTTCTATTTTATTGTTCCTTCTTGTAATAAAGGGAAGATAAAACCGCGGCTAGCCCTGTCTCTGTCCATGGCATTGACACTGCATGGTTTGGGGGCTCCTGGCCCTGAGGTAGCTGCAGGTGTGGGAGAGTAGGGAAGGGAGGGGGCGGGCAGGCAGAGATGCCAGGCAGGCCCCCTAGTCTTCTGGCCCCTTGGACCCCTTTGTGCGCTTTGCTGGCGGCTCCTGGGCACGACAGGGGTGCTGGCGCAGATCAGCACTGAACAGCACCTGTTAGGAAGCGGGAAGGAAGAGGTGGGCACACAGGGGTCAAGGCCAGGGATGGGTGGGGGCCCGTGTGGACATCCCAAATGTCCATGGCATCAGAGCTGGGGGAGAAGTTCTCACTCACCGCTTGGGCCCAACCTGCATATGGTCCCCACAGGCTCCGGAAAAAGTTTCCTAGGTGAGAAGCGATGGGACCCAGTTAGGGAGCGGCCCCTTCTGCCACGTGCAGAGCAGGGGGCCTGAGAGAGGAGTGGAGAGGAAATTAGCCACTGCTGCCCTGCGCCCTCTGCTCACCCAGCTCCTTGTTAGCCTGGGGGCTGGGGCTCTTGGCCTGCGAGGTGGTGGGCTGCCAGCCATAGTCCCGGCGGGCGATCTGCCACACGTGGATGTCCACGGGCACTGCCTGCGGCTTGTCCAGGGCCATCAGGCAGATGCAGTCAGCAACCTGTGATGGGCACAAAGCGAAACATCAGAGAGAACTGGTCAGGTGCAGCCAGCCACTGGACGATACTATTCTACTGAAGTGACTAGGTCAAAGTCATGTGGAAAAACCAGAAGTCCTCTTAGTCTGTTGTCCAGAGCTGACTTTCCATCTGCATCCCCAACCAAATCTCTAAGGGATTTATGGCATACTAGGTTGAGCCGCTAACTGCAATGCTGGCTTCCCACACAGGCAGCCATTCTAGTCCTGGCTACTTTCAACCCAGCCCCCTGCTAATGCACTTGAAAAACCAGTGGAAGCTGACCCAAGTACCTGGGCCCTTCCACCCAGGCTGGAGACCCGAATGGAGTTCCAGACTCCTGGCTTCTGCTTGGCCTTTTTCTAACCATTGTGGCCTTTGGAGAGTGAACCAGCAGATGCTCTCTCCCTTGCTCTCAGTAACTCTGCCTTTCAAATAAATGCATGAACCTCAAAAATCTCTAGATACAAACTCATGTTTTTCAACAACAGAAAAGTATACAAAAGAAAAAGAAACGCCAGATGCGGTGCCACCTTACTATCAGTTAACTGCTGACATTTTCCCAAACATCACTGGGTTCCTTGCAATTCTTTCCGGAAACCTGTGTGCACCTGTGAGTACAGCAGTGTGTACAAACACCCCAACAAGCAGATTACCTAAAACCCATTCAAAGGGGGAGTCTTTTATACTTGTGGGGTTTTTGTTTGTTCTACCCCCAATGAAACATCTGCTCACATTCTGTCTCCTCCTCTCCTGTCCTCAGTGGCCATGCTTCCCCTCAGCGCCCAGGCTGGCCTCCGCTCCCGTCCCCAGGGCCTCACCTTGGTGCCCACCCCGGGCAGGGCACAGAGGGCCTTGTGGGCCTCCTCATAGGGGGCCGTTCGCAGCTGCTGCAGCCAGGCCAGCCCGCCCTGGCCTTCCAGGATGGCTCGGGCGCTGGCAGTCACGTAGCGAGCCCGGTACCCCAGGCCCAACTTCCTGAGACAAGCCTCCACTTGTGGCCCTATGGGCAGTGGGGAGGGAAATGGGGCTCAGGCATGCTCATGTTGGGGTGTGTGCTCGCTACCCCCACAGGCATGCTCTTCCCCAGTGAACCTTGTCACCTGAGGGCCTATGGGAGACAGAGGGACACCGTGAGGAGCAAAGCAAATAGTTACATTCTGGGCCCGGCACCAAGGCCTAGCAGCTAAAGTCCTTGCCTTGAAAGCACCGGGATCCCATGTGGGCGCCGGTTCTAATCCCGGCGGCCCTGCTTCCCATCCAGCCCCCTGCTTGTGGCCTGGGAAAGCAGTTGAGGACAGCCCAGGGCCTTAGGACTCTGCACCCGTGTGGGAGACGTGGAAGAGTTCCTGGCTCCTGGCTTCAGATCAGCACAGAACCGGCTATTGCTGCCACTTGGGGAGTCAATTATCAGATGGAAGATCTTCCTCTCTGCCTCTCCTCCTCTCTGTCTATATATCTGACGCTGCAATAAAAATAAATAAATCTTAAAAAAAAAAAAGTTACATTCCAGGTGCTGTGCACCTCCTCCTGCTAGGCCCCAGGACCAGGGCTGCCCTGGAGGAGCCCCTCGAGTGCGTTCCTGACCCTTCCCAATCGCATTCCCAGCACGCCAGGCTGCAGACCCATCACCGCACCTGGAATGATGGCTCAGCTGCCATCTCCAGGCACCGACTGCAGATGTGGGCTCAGGTCCGGATGCCTACCCCCAGCCTCCTTGCCAGAACACCACACCACCCTTCCAGGGCCCTGAGGCCTCAGCCCAGCTTTCTAGGGCACCAAAGCACTCTCCTAGCCAGGCCGTTCCCCGGGCCTACCACCAGATTGGGGCTTGCCTCCACCGGCAGGACTGGCTGTTTGACTCGGGAGTTGCTGTGGACACAGGCGTCCTCAGATACACTACTGCCACAAGCTTCCCACTGAACACCATGTCACCCGCACCATCTGCAGGCTTTTATTTAACCCTGGTGACAGCTGCTGGGGAGGTGTTGCAGTCACTGCTTCATAGAGGATGCTCCCACTCCATGATGTGCAGTGACAGCTGGGCTTGAGCCCCAAGCGCTCTGTCTCCAGGAGACCCACTAGCAACCCCAAACCGCTGCCTGTCCCAGGCAGGTGTTTGAGGCTGTGGCCGGAAACTATAAACCAGCAAGGTGCCAATGCCAGGCCAGCAGAGCTATGCAGGATGAGGTATGTCGGGGCAGACCAGTGGGGGGTCAGCTCTCAGGAAGGTGGGACTCTCCAGGAGGGGAGACGCCAACAAGGGTACAAGTGGGAACTGACAGAGAGGCCATGGAGCAGTGGGCACACCTGCTTACCTGCCAGAGCCTGCAGGCTGGGGAAGCCGTAGTAGGTGATATCATCGAGCTGAACGAGCCGGGGCCCGAAGGCCTGGCACAGCCGCTCCACCATGCCGCTGATGCGTGTGATGTTGTTGTTGGAGGAGCAGATGAAGGAGAACAGGCATTCGACAGGGTCCTGGCGTAGCAGTCGCACCCCTGGGGACCAGATGGGCAGGGTATGGGACAAGGACCTGCTGCCATCAATCACCCCCTGCCACCCTCCTACCAGACTTGGGCATCAGGGCTATAGGGCTTACCCACCTGAGCACCCTGGGGGCAGGCATTCGTTCCACGCACTGCTGTATGCCAGTCCCACAGCAGGGGCTCTGTGTGCAGTCACACAACCAGCAAAATCACCTGCCCAGGACAGGGCTTTTTTCTTTTTATAAATTTTAGATTAATTTTATGTATTTGAAGAGTTACAGAGAGGCAAACAGACAAAGAGCTCTTCCACTCACTGGTTCACTCTGCAAACAACTGCAATGACCGGGCCTGGGTCAGGCCCAAGTCAGAAGCCTGGAACTCCATCTGGGTCTCCAGATGGAGAGGTGGCAGGGGCCCAAGTAACTGGACTGGAAATGGAATCATGGGGACTAGGACAGGGGCACACATGGGGTGCTGGAACTGGCTGCATGATGGTGCTGCTCCCCCCCCACACACGGGGTTAACTCCTTGTCACTTCACTGGGACACTTGGCGGAACGGCAGGATGATATCTGGTTATAGTGGCTGTGCGCTGGGGACCTTCTAAGCATTTCACCCTTCAATATTAATAGAATCCCCTGACGTAGGCATAATCCCATTTCACAGATGGCAAAAGCAAGCCACATCTCCGCCTCTCCACACCTTGCCTCCCCTCAGCCCCAGTCAGCCCCCCAGACCCCTGTGCTCACCTGGGTATCGCTGAGCCACCTCTAGAAAGTGGGAGTCTACGGAACCCCAATGGCTGTAGAGCTGGGCCAGGCTGACATCCAACTGGAAGTACTGGCGAACGGCCTCCAGCTCCCGCAGCGTAGGCTTGCCGACCCGTCCATAAGAGGTGCAGTGCAGGTGTTCTTCCGTCTGCGTCAGGGTCCACACGCGATCACCCAGCACACCGCTCCAGTGCGCAGGGCTCTGCTCCCTCCACCTGTGGCTCCCACGTACACGCGGTTACTCCGTCCGCCCTCACCTGCCACAGCCCCTACAGGTGGCAAAGCTGCAAACTCAGGGCGACCATTCGTGCGTCCGCAAGACGCCTCATGGACTTGCCGACTCTACTAAGGATGGACAGGCGTGCTGGCCGTCCACACCCGTGACCTCCGTGGAGCTCAGGGGCGGGGCGGGGGTCCCAGGGGAAGGGTCGTCCAGGTTCAGTTACTCACCGGAAGGACTGTCCGGACGCCAGAACCAGGTCCAGGCGCAGCTCGGAGCGTGGACACGGGATGGAGGCCCACAGGGCCGGGTCGGAGGCCAACGTGCGGTGCCGCATGCCACCCTGCACGACAGAGTGGCCGGCGCTTCCACACGGAGCGGGCCCACGCGGAGGCCACGACCCGTGAGTCCTCGCCCACCCGGTCCCACTCCGTTCTATTGCTCCACTGCCTGCAGGCTCCGCCCCGTGACGCGGCCCCCACCCCAGGGCCCGGGCGCGCCCAGTGCTGCTCTGGACGCTCGGGCGCCGGCGCGTGTTTCCGGCTTCCCCTGGGCCGCCGCGCCACCCCCGGAAGCCGGGCTCCAGAACCGCTCATTGGACCCGACGTGGCCAATCAGAGGGGAAAGTGAGGAGCCAACGGGCGGGCGCTGCCGAGGCGCGCGGCCTGTACTGCCCCAGAGTTCCGGGATCCTCGCCTCCCCTCCATCCCGCGGAGCCCCAGTCCCCCAGGAGCCTCGCCTCCTCTTCCCCCCAACCGGGCCCTCCGCCCCACCTGCCCATGGGCCCGGGTGGCTGCGTTCCCCTCACCAAGGGCCGAGCTTCACAGAGCCAGTTGTGCAGACGGGAACCCCGCTGCCCTCTCGGGCCAGGTTGCTGCAGTCTTTGCGGAGTGTCAAACACATCCCACGCCCCCACCAGCCCCCCCAGTTCCAGCAGGTGTGGCGGACCCAAGGGTCTTGGGAACCCAGAGCCACCTCTGGGCCCAGTCCGTTCCCCTTCCGGGGTACACAACTTTCCTTGGGGACCCTTCCACCCTGGCAGTGGCAGCAAGAAAGAAAACAAACTATTTTCTAAGAATCAATATATTTTCTTCCTTTGAAATAAATACAAACCAGTTTGAAAGGCAGGGACAATCTATGGGCAAGAGGAGGAACATGGGGACAGACCCCAGTCTTTTTTAGTACCAAATGACTCTGGCGCGACCCGGAAACGCAGTTACAAATGAGAATAATTTAAATTCTCCGATAATTACAGTATGTACAGCAGCAGGGAAGGGGGCACCTAGTGCCCCTCCTCTGGGCTAGGCCCTTGCCTGCTCACCTCCCATCTGCAGGGGCCTCAGGCCTCCAGGCAGTTGAGGATTCTCCAGGCCCGGGCAGACAGAGGCAGCGGGGCGGCCTGTCTTACACAGTGTCCTAACCGTGGCCTACTGCCCTGCCCTCCGCCCTGCTGTGAAGTGGCAGGCTCGCTGTGGTGCTGAGCCACCGCCAGCCCCTGGAGTGTCTGCACAGTCCAGCTGCACTCAGGGCGGGAGGGACCCCCCACCCAGCTTCCCCTGAGAATGGCCCCAAGACCAGGATGAGTCAGTGCAACCGGTGCCACTCCAGGCAGGGAGCAGTCAGTCGCTGTCACTGGTGTCACTGCTCTGCTCGCCCTGCACTTTGCTGCGGTGCTGCAGGGCCCGGTGGTAGGCGATTTGCACTGACTTGCGGATGTTGGACTTGCGGCCCTCCAGCATCTTCTCCTTGTCCAGATCCTGGTTCACACCCAGAGGAACCAGCTTGGTCCTGGGCAGCCATTGCCTACAGGATGAAGTAAAGATCAAAGTGGGCCATCTCGGGACAGCAAGAACCAGTCCTCCTCACTCCACAGGCTCATCACCCCCTGATACTGGGGTACAGATGATCAGCAGGTACAGTCCTGCCCTCAGGGAACCTCTCACAGTCGAGAGCTGACAAGGGCCAATCAGTCAAAAGCTGCATTAGAGGGGTCACCATGGGGTATTATGGGTACGGAGGAGAAGCCTGATGCCCACTGTTGTCTGTAGGCAACAAACCCGTGACCTTGGGTGGGGGGGCGTCAGAGCCGGAATGTGTGTGCCCGCTTCAACCTCAGCTAGTCCTCGGGAAGCTGAGGTGGGAAAACCAAAGCCTCCAGAGTCTGAGTGGGATCCTCAGCTAAGAGCTGAAGGTCCTCTGTTCCCTGGCTACAGCTACTGGTCAGCCACTGCCCACTCAGCCTCTCAGCCTCTGCATCTATACAGCCAGCTTGCCTCCCCAGTCTCAGGCTGAGCTCCTCAGTCTGCCCACACAGCCTACTGCTCTACTGCGGCATGAGTCACCCCACAGGCTCCCTGCTTTCTTTACCAGGTTCGCTTGTTGTCAAAGAAGAGGACGAGGTAGAGATGCTCGCGAGCTTCCTGGGTCATCTGTTCCCCTAGTTTCAGCACCTCCAACGGGGGCACAGGGATGGGGACTCCATGGTGGAACACACCTTCTCGGGGCATCTTTGGGTCAATGATCTGAGGATGTGAGAAGAGCCTTTTGGTCCAGTCTGCCCCCTCCCTGCCACACTGCTTATTTCAGTGTCCAAGGACAAACAGCATGAAAAGGGAAAAGGAGAACCCGACTGGGAACCTGCCAACAGCCCTGGGGTAGCACCTGCCCCAAAGTGCTCTGCCGAGGAGTCCCATGCCCACAGCAGAAGCGCCTACCAGAGCCGGGTACGATGGGTACCCACGGCACTTGGCCCACACGAGGTCCAGGGCATCCAATGGGGAGTCTTCATCTTCGGACAGCCAGCCAGTGCCCCGGCCCAGACTCTTCCTCACCACTACACAGAATGCGAAAGAGGCCGATCAGCAGGTGAGGGGCTGGCAAGGCCGTGACGCTGGGACTCCAGCATCCCTGGCCTTGGGCAAGGGTACTTACTGCTGTGGCCCACGCTGCGGCCAGCGCCCACGGAGTAGGCCTCATTCTCAGTGCCTGAGGTATCTTCACTGCTGTCTTCGGGGAACGTGCCTCGGGAGAAGGAGGGCTTACCCCGGCCTTGCTTTGAAGGTGTTGTGCTGTGGACGGAAACAGGGAATGGCATGATGGGTGTCCTGGCCCCAAGCCTCCAGGCCTGGCCAGTCTTAGAAAGCAGAGGCTGCAGGAGGGAACTTCAGACTCCATACTGCCAGGTCAGAGGCTAGCCCCCGGGGTGGGCACTGCCCAGCAGCCAGCAGCAGTGCATGCCCTCTCTTAAGGCAGCACTGGCCAGATCCAAGGAGTGTTACATCTTCAGGTGGTATCTTTGTCTTTTTAAAAAAAAAAAAAAAAAAAAAGATTTATTTTTTATTGGAAAGGCAGATATACAGAGAAAGAGAGACAGAGAAAGATCTTCCATCCGTTGGCTCACTCCCCATGTGTCCACAATGCCTAGTGCCAAGCCAATCCAAAGCCAGGAGTTTCCTCTGGGTCTCCCACATGGGTGCAGGGTCCCAACCAAGCCATCCTTGACTGCTTTCCCAGGCCACAAGCAAGGAGCTGGACAGGAAGTGGAGCAGCCAGAACATGAACCAGCACCCATGTGGGATCCTGGTGCATGCAAGGCAAGAATTTCAGCCACTAGGCCACCACATGGATTTCTTTTCTTTGTTTTCAATGCCATGCTGGCCAAACAAAACAGCTCTGCAGACCCACTACAAGGCTCTGTGGCTCCCACACAGCTGTTTCACCCAGGACATCTTTCTGCCTCTGACATTGACCTACTCTGTTTATTCTGTAAATCGGAGCCATCCTTCCCTGTCTGATACTGCTAGAAGGGTTCTAGAAGGGCATGCCTGGAGACCTGCTGTGATCTACAGAGTTAGTACCTGGTCCGGTCAGAGGCAGCACTGCTGCTGCTGCTGCTGCTGGACTCGGAGTCGGAGCTGCTGCGGGGAAGGTTGCAGTCGTTCCGGTAGACCAGGAAGCTCTTCTTCACGGGCTGGCTCCCCCCGCTGAAGCCATTGGCAGGTAAGTCTTGGTGGTGGGGAGGGGAGGAGGGAAGGAACCGGTCAGGAAAATAAAGAGCAGAGGTAACATGGGGAGAGGGACTCAAGAGCTTGGGTTCCCTTTCTGTGCTGGAAAATTCCCCCAACCTTGGCCAGGTGTGAGCAGCACCTATATTGTGATTGGCCAGAGTTCTGCCCTTTCCCCACTCCCGTCATTAGCTACTCATCCTAGGACACAAGTGACTTAGGGCAGGAGATTCCCAAGGAAGGTGAGAACAGAAAAGGTGAAGGAATGGGAGGGGGTCTGGCTGGGTCCGTGTCTCGGGGCCTCATTTTTCCCAACTCTAAGATGAGGTGATGGCATGAAAGGCAGCCTAGGGGGTCTCTCCAGCTCTCTCTCCTATGGCTGAGGCTGTGTGGGGTCTCTGGCGGGCTGGGTGATGGTGAGGCTCACCCATTGGGGGGTCTTCTGTGGACTTATCACTGTCGCTGTCTGAGCTCGAACTGGGCCGGGGGCTCCTACCCCGCTTGCGCTGACGCAGGGAGCCCATGATGGGGAGCTGGGGGGGCCCCACAGGACTGCCTCCGTGGCTGGGGGTCATCTGGCTCTCCCGGTTTTTGGGGGGCCGGCCCGGCCTCTTGGGCGGTCCAGCTGTCTTCGGGTTCTTTTTGGAGAACAGAACTGAGGTTCTCCTGCCCACCTCATGTGCGGGGGTTGAGGACATGTTGGGACCCAGGCCTGGAGCAGAGAAAGAAAGGAGAGTTGGTGAGGGGCCTGCTGGGGGAAGGGCAGCTGTCCAGGACCCCGCCCTGGGTAGACAGGACCATTTACCCCAGCTGGACAGGGGACAAGACTATGTGGGCATGGACTGGGATACAAACAGCCAGAGAGGCGGCTAAGAGGCCCCTGATGGGAGGATGAGGGAGAAAGTGTGGCTAGCTGTGCAGGAGGGACATCTGCCCGGGTCGGGCAGGCACTGAGGCTGTGCTTGCTTCGGGGTCTGCCCTGCCAGGGGGTTCAGACCTTTGCTCGTCTCCTGGCTGCTGCTCTCCTCTGCTGCACTGTCCGTCTGCCCATCCTTGTCACAGGCCGCCGGGTGCGGGGTGAGACTGCCTCGGCTTGAGGGGCCATGCCGCTCAGGCCCATCGCGTCCAGTCTCCCGCTGGTGGGCCAGCTTCCGCCGCAGTGCCGTCATCTCCTTCTTGATCATCTTGGCGCGCCGCGAGCGGCCCACACTCTGCTTGCTGGCATTCACTTCATCTAGCCGCTCCAGCAGCAGCTGCAGCTGCTCTTCCACAGGTAGGTGCTTCTGGTGTTCCAGCAGGAGCAGTCGCTCATCCTCCACTGTGAGAGTCAGGGCAAGTGGGAAGGTCAGCTGCGGGCAGTGCTGGAGCCTGGCACATAGCAAGGAAGTCACTCCACCCCATGCCTTCCTGCCAGCCAAAGCTGGAAAGCAGCACCGGGATGC